ATTGAAGCTGGGAAAGGCAAATTATTCCAACTTAATAAAGCCTGAAGAAATATAAGTGAGGGCCTCCCTGGTGGCGCAGGTGGTTAAGGGCAGCGTGGTAAAGCTGTCAGCAGCCTCTGCAGCATGAGTTCGATCCTGGCCAGCCAGGGAGATACCCACATGGTGTGGCAGACCACTCCTGTTTCGGCCCCTGCGCCCCTCAGCAGTGTATTTCAGTAAGTCTGCTTGTTCTGTTCCCCACTCTCTCTGGTGAATCCTCTCACCCTCCCACACATCTGGTCTGTACCCCGGTTCTTGTATGCATAAATAAATTAAAAAAAAAAAAAGAGAGAGAGAGAGGTTAGCTTCAAATTCACAGCAAAAGAATGAATCATCATGAGCCCACCAGCTGGTAATAATGCCAATTTTCTTACATATCATTTTATTTAATTTTTGTAACCATCAGTGAGAAATATCCCCATTCAGAGAACAACAGAGATAGTCAAAGTCAGTAATTTTCAGTGCAAAAAACTGGGAGAACCAGAATTTGAACTCAGTTCCATTTAAACCCAGAGTTCAGGGACTCCCTGGTGGCGCAGCGGGTTCAGTGCCATGCTGTGAAGCTGTCCACAGCCTCGGCAGTACGGGTTCGATCTCCAGTGGCCAGAGAGACTCCCACATGGTGCTGCAGACCTCTCCTGCTGCGCCCGCTGCTCCCTTCAGCAGTGTATTTCTGTCATCTGCCTGTTCTGCTCCCCGCTCTGTCTCTGGTGAATCTTCTCACCCTCCCATGCCTCTGGTCTGTACCCCAGCTCTTGTATTAAAAAAATAAAATAAAATAAACCCAGAGTTCATACTCTTTTCTCCTCTGCTACTATTTCCCAGGCCCCAAAGTCAGGGAAGGAAGGTAAGACTCTTCAGAGAGCAACTGTACAAAGTTGATATATACTTTGTACCACAAGTTCAAATGACCAAATTTGCCTGTCATTCAAAGGCTGAGAGGGTAAAAGGTAAGCTACCAGTTTAACAGGATGGTTCAGTCAAGCAGGATCCTTTGACAAATACTTTAAAGTTTTAATAGCATAAGTGATTTATCAGCATGAGGCAGGATCCCTGACACAAAGCAAGTTACTGTGCGACCCCTCTGTGTCTCTGTTTCCTTATCAGAAACATGAAGACAGTATAATCTCCCTTGCAGAAATGATGTAAGGGTTAAAGAAATACGATGCAGCAATCGCTCTGGAAATGGTCTGTCACAACCAAAAAGGCTCAGTGTACAGTGCCAGTATTATGAAAGCCCTTGCACAACTAAACTTTCTCCAGGCCTGTCCTTTCTCTCTTGCCTAAAATACCTGCAGTGTCCCCTCAATTTCTGCTGCTACTTACCTGCCTCTCTCATCTCCATGTATTACACTCTTTCATTTAGACCACAAATTCTCTTAATACCTACACCTGCATTCAGGGGAAGCCAAGCTCTCACAGAAAACCTACATATGTGGGAGACAGAGGAAGAGACAATAAATAAATAAAAAAGCACATAATAAACCACCAGGTAGAGTCGCACATAATAAAGTACAATAAAGAAGGGAAAGGGTGGAGTGGAATCCCTTGGGAGAGGGGGCTTGAGTTAAATAAGGGAAAGACCTGTATGAAAAGTAAACATTAAATCAGACAGCTCAATAAAGGGAGAGAACACCAAAAGAGACCAGAAAGAACAGTATTTCAGATAGGGGAACAGCAAATGCCCAGAGTTAGGAACAAGTCTAGTGTCTTAGAAGACTAAGAACATAGCTGTACAGCAAGACTCACAGTGCTACACTGATTTACACACCAATTGTGCCACCAAACCAAGAGACCCCAGAGGGGAAAGGAGTCTGCAGCTTCTGTGTTCATTCAGGCAACAACTCTTGTTTATTAAGTACACCTATATGTCCAGCATGCTCTTAAGCACTGGGTTTACAGTGACAGAATAGTTTCTTTCTTAGGTGAGCTAATAAAAAATAGTATTGGGCACAGAGTAAGTACTCAGAAAATATTTATTAAATGAACAATATATATTTGATTTTCAGTCCTGGGATTCTTACAGCCCTGTTCTTCCTTCCTCATTTGGCTAAAAGATCACCATCACCCATCAACTTCTGTTACCCATCTGATCTCATAACAAACTGCACTGGGACTAATCTTTATGTCCTCTCTCCCTCTGCCTCTGCATGCAGTCCACTCTAGCTGGAATGCCCTGCCCACTCCATCTTCTTCACCAGACTAACTCCCAGTATTATTTCTCAAAATTTTATTAGTATATTGATTTTATCATTTGCTCAAACATGTACAAATCTCTCAAGTTCTTCAGGCAAAACATTTCCATCAAGTAAAGGAAAGCCATGCATCAAGTGACAATTCCAAATTGAGTAGTACAGAGAGCTGAAGGACAAATAAGCTGAGGTTATTTATGTAATTTCTAGTCCTCCCCAAAATACAAGATATTTCAGTCACTTTCTGGGCTTTGTGCCTGCAGTATTAGGCCAGGGTACAAGAGCTGCAAAGTTTCTCACTATTGGGGGTCTCTGTACTCCACTACTTGCCTGCAAAAGAAATGTTCTATTTACAACATTTATTTATTTAGTGTTTACTTGGTATAAAGAAAACCAATCTGGGAAATGAGGTATTACTTAAAGATCTCCCTCACACAGATCAATAATTTAGTGTCTAAATTATATGAGATGAATTTCCTTTTCTAACAGCTGAAAATGCAGCTGTAGTTCATTGAAAAAAGAAAAGAAAAACAGTCAAATATTTATTCTTCTAGGCCAGAAGGCAGATTTAGGTAATTCACAAGTTCCTATACAGCCTCACTTCACTGATAAGAACTTGCAAGTAACCTTTAGTCCTTCATATCTAGAAGCTATCAATCTATCTCTCTTCTCCCACTTCTGGAAAGAGCAGAAAATTAAGCAGGAGCCATGTGTTCTTAAGTATACAACAGCAGAAGCATGGGTTTTGCAGTCCCTCAACAGTACACCTTCCTCTCCAAGTTCTTGAACAGAAGTTCCAGCTTCACTGAGAACCACAGAACAACAGTCCTAAACCTTGTGGTCTGAGAGAGGCAGTGTTTCTGACAAGGTCTACACTTCTCTTACTTCTCTTACAATAGAATATCATGAATTTCACCCAGCCATTATGAGAAATGTTCTCAAGACAACATGTGCTGAGAACCGCTGTTCCCTGCTTAGACTCAGGGCCCATAGTCAAGATTTCCAGATGATATAACCCACAGGATGGGCTTATCTGTGTACCCACGATGCCTGCACCTTACTAACTCTCACTGCTAGGCTCCACAGCACCCCGTTATCATAGCTGACTAGTTAGGCACAGCAACATAGGACTGGTCTGCCAAGATTTAAGGCTATGAAGATATCTGACAATGGTTAAACCTTTACTGGCATGTTTATAGGATAACACATCATCCACATGTATATAAATCAATGTAACTACATGAAGGGAGGTAACAGGTCTTTTACCGAGTCCTCACCAAACCAAGGGTGTCTATTCCCAGCTAGATTCTCCAAAGTGTTGTGTTCAGGCTTCCCCATCTTAGTTTGCCCAAAAAGCTCCTATTTCAGCTACACACCTAGGTTTCTATGTGCTATTACTTTGCTTATTAAGTATTCACAGCCCCAGAGCCCACCGTTCTCATCAATTCGTCCATACTCAAAGTTAGCACCAGAATTGTCTTTTGTAACAGTTAAATAATGAATAGAACTTGATCACCTGGAGGTATTCGCCTTACTCTATTACAATAATTATTAGGGCTTTTAATTGGAAAAAAAACGTCATTTCTTTTACTATCCCGCCATACTACGTACGAGTGCCTATTACAGTAACAAGTATTACAGTAATAAGTATTAACACCCTTTAAATTTACATTAACAAAAACAAGGAAATGAGAAGCCAGTAACTGTAAGGAGGAGGGGAAAAATCCTCACGGATGTCATAATTAACCGAAATTTAGAGTTACTCAAAAAATCATTACTAGATATCTCTTCTATTTTTATGTTGTGTATATCCTGGTTAAAACTGCATGAGTAATAATTTGCATCTCATCAATTAAAAATGGGAAAATGGACAAAAACCTCGCTCTGCTGTGACTGAGCCTCACACTACCTTTTAAAGGAAGAGGCTGTCTATGGAGAATAGGCTGAATGATTGAATTATTTCTCCAAGAGTCATCAGCAACTCTAAACTCCCCAAAGACCTCACCACTATGACTCTTGCCATCAGTAGAACATAAAAATCTACTGGAGACTAAGTTCAATGAGCGATTCAGCATTCCCCCACTTGCCCTCGCGGGCTTTTTATTCCCTATACAGAGAAAGCCAAGAGGCCAATAGCGTTTTAATGATGGGACATATCTTTTCACTGAAAGATGGGCGAGCATTTCCCAACTTTTCTCCTTGATGCCTACATTTCACCAAATCGGGAGCCCCAAAATTCTGCAAAAGCAGACAACTTGAAGAAAATCCATTGCCGGAGGTGAAATACAAACACCAGCTAGGCTGGGATAGCTTTGGAAGCACGTTCATCACGTGGCCCAACAACTGCGCTCTGGCACAGAGAAACTGCAAAAGAAAAACAGGCAAACAATATAATAAAACCTCAAGACACCACAGGCAGGACTGAGAAACTTTCCCTAAACTTGTAAGCCACATCTGGCGTACGGCTAAGAGCCGCCTTCCGCAGGAGCTGGAGAGCCCACGTCGGCGAGTTGGGTAGCTCAGTCTGGGGGCAGCCCCAGCTGCTGCGCCCCCTCGGCTCGCGAACCCACACATCGGCAGCCAGGGCTGCGGGGACCCCTGGTGCGCCCCGCGCAGTGCACCATGCGTCGCCTCCATAGGTGGGGCGCCCAACCGCCGCGCTGCCGTGGCCAGGAGGGGGACAGCTGGAGGAGGAGGGCCAGGAGTGGCTGCGCAGGCGGGCGCCCCGGCCAAACCATTCCCGCGGGTGCTGCCACGCGGCCCGCTCACCTGGGACCTGGGCGCCAGGAGCCGGGGCCGCAGCGCCAGGTCTCGCAGAAGTTTCCCGGCCTGCGCCGCCAGGGGGGCCGCCATCTTAAACAGGAACCAACGGGCGGCGGAGCCGCTTTGAGCGCGGGAGCGGGAGGCGGGGGGTGAGGGGCGGGCCCACCGCCACCCCCCGCGGGCGGCCCGGCCCCCTGCGCCCCGGAACGCCCAGGCGCGAAGCCCGGGTCTGCACCGCCGGGCGAACCCCTGGCTGGGCTCCTGGGAGCAGCACCCTTACTGCTGCGGAGGCCGAACCCTAGATCTCCCACCCCGTCCCCCAAGTTCACTTTGAGCATTCGGAGGGCCTGGTGATGTCCTCGCTGTGCAGTCTCAGAGCACAGCTGGGAGTAAAAGCAGGTCCCGGCCCTTCGATCCTGCGGGTCAAAGTGTACCAGCCGGACAAACTGCCGAGTACTAGTCATTGCAGTGAACGCTCCAAGGACCGACCCACGGAGCTGTCGCCCCATAACAGACTTGTCCAGGGAAGCGACTTGAAGAATAAGGGAGAGGCAATTGGATCTCTTGAGGTGGTGGAGGTCCTGGATACCTTGATAAGATTTCTTTTCTTTGACTGAGGGTGAATGCAAATCTATTGTGAGATGTTTACACTAATTACCATAATAAGGGCAGATGTTTATTTGGAATTTAGCGGATTCTGAGCACTGTACATGTAATAGAAATGGGCACAGCAAATATGCTTATTCTGTTCCAGGCACTTTGCAAATATGAACCCATTTAGTCTTCAGCAGTTTTTCATGGATGAATATAAAATTCCCATTTTGCAAAAGGGAAAACAGGCACAGAGCGCTAAATGCCTGAGTTCGCAATTTCAATAAGCAGTGGAAGTGAGGTTTAAACCCATGTTTTCTCTTCTTCCCGCTGCATTTAACACTATTTTAGATTTTTTTAACTATTTATTCTTGAGTCCGTGACCATATGAAAATGTACAATGTAATCGAACTAGACTGTTCCTGCTGTTTTCCTTTCTTCTCGCCCTTCTTTTGTTGGTGGCTTGTTTTTAAGTTTTTTAATTTAGAATAATCAAAATATAGCAACATTTCAAGAATGTTACCTCCAAATGCCCAAATATCCTTAACCCAGGTTCACCATTTCCTTATATTTTACCCCATTTCATTCTCAGTAAATACAAATACATGAATTTATAGTCTTCCTCTCCACAGTTTTACCAGCTAGATTTAGCAACCACTGATGAATACTGCTTGAACCCTTTATTATTAGGATGGTTACAAAATAATGATTGTCTAATTCCATCCTTTCTACATTTTTTAGTTTGCATTCTACTCTGAGAAGAGCTTTACATTTTCCCACATTTCTTTATTTTTGTAGTCACTTGTCAGTAAGAACACACGGATTCCATTTTATTCATCACTAAACCTGTGCTCTTTCCTATCACATACATTCTATTGCCTCAGGTTATGGGTCATTTTATCATCATATGGGGGTCCTGTTAGTCTCATTTTGCCACACAGTGAACTGGGCCACAGAGAGATTATGTAACTTGCCCAGGGTCACATAGACCCTAACGCTGGAATCTAAACACTACTATACACCCGCCTCTTGACACAAGTGCATCTGAGTTTCCATCTCCTTATTCATTACTGCTACTGGGTTCCATCTAGCCCTGAATGAAGCAAAGATTTATTAGTTTGTAGACTGAATGTTGAAATTTGAGGACTTTGAATGTGTTCTCAGAAGGAAGAGGACCACGTGCAGAATTATTCAAAGGTGTTTATTCTGCATTACTATGGTAAATGAGTTGTCTGCGTTGCTCTTCCTCCAGCAGAGACTAGAAGGGATTTGAAAGGAGAGCGCATTTTGTAGAGAGAAAGAAGAAACTCCTAAGACAGTCTTTGATTGATGGTGTTCTATTAGGATGGGAGTTTTCAATTAGGGAGTAAGATACTTGGAAGTGGAGAGGGAAGAGGATTTCTGATTGCTGTTCAAGTGTGTTTGGCAGTTTTTGGTGCACATAACTGGACGTTTTCATGTAAGTTTTCCTGTTGAAATTGAAACATTGTCTGCTTTGGGCCCAAGCCTTGCATAGCAATTCCTCAGTTGTCTTTGCCTATGTTCTCTCATTCTTCCTTCTCTGCAGCCAAGAGCTAGGGGGGAAAGACCAGAAGGATACTCATATGGTATCTTAGTTAGGGCCTGTCACCAACTGGGCCAGGACTGGAGGAAACAGGCACCATACACTTATGATATGAATCACTTACTGAGTCCTTCCTTGGCATTATCTCTATTTCCCAGCTTTTTATTTTCCAAATGAGAAGCTCTTTGAGTTTAGGGAAACTGGTTTCAACCAGAGTTCTGTGATGCGCTTTACTGAGGCAAGCACTGGGTTTCCAGTCGAATTGGATTCAAAGCCCACCTCTACTCTTACAAAACTTGGGGAAGTAAATACTTCATGTGGTAGTAATTAAGTGTTTGATGAACTCTTGTAGGTAGACTTTGTGTCTAATAGCAGCTTAATAAATGTTATTTTTTTTCCTCTAATAGGTTATTAAACATTTGTTAGGTATCTAATGTGAAACACCAGCATCAACAGAAGATGTGGGTGAGAAAATTCTTTATGCTTTGTAACATCTTAGTAGCACTGGAGAACTATGGAGATGTATATAAGCCAGAAGAAAGTGCTAAAAGTTTCCAAAGTGGTCACCTCCAGGAAGAGGGTGGAAGATAGTGGTTAGAGAACAAATATGTTTTTAGAGCTTCAAAATGTAGATTCCTGGATTCTACTCTCAGACCTAGTGAATCAGAATCAGTTAGGATGGGATCTAGGATATGCATTACAAATAATCTTCTCCAGGAATTCTGTAGTTTGAAAAGTAAACCAACCAAATTCTCAACAATATTCCTGGAAGGTCAAGAGACAAATTACTCTGCTGTCACTCATTGAGTTCATAAATGCAGATGGAAAAGCTGTAAATCTTGATAGAGGTGATGAGTAAATACTGCTTTCAGATCTGAACATAATAGGATAAAATCCCAGCTTCTCCCAGCTTCTTCATCAAAATTGCTGTTGTGCAATCTGCTTGAATATTAACTGTGGTCATAGGCAATCACCACTGAAAGCATTCTGTACTGTCTATCAGAGTGAAGTACCAAGGTAGACCTCAGCCAAACTGAGTTTGAGTCTTGACTCTGATTTAAATTAGTTTGGGCAAGTTACTTCACAGCTTCAATGTCTTCAGCTGTGAAAAGGAGATTGTAAAAGTACTTATTTTGTCAGAGACACTTTATAGGTGTTTGAGATCCCCACAGCTGTTATTCACCATGCTTTCATTACCTGACTAAGAAATTCTTTTTTTTTTATTTTTATATTCCCCATACAATTGCGACCCCCTTATTTTGACCCCAATCCCTCCCCTCCCCGCACCCCACCCCCCATAGAGTGTCTCTGGTTCATAGTTGTTTGTTGATTTTGATTTTTACTTTCTTATAGTTACTCTTTTTCCTGGTCCCTTATTTAAGTTTTCTAGATTCCTGATGTGAGTGAGACCATCCGGTATTTTTCTTTTTCTTTCTGGCTTACTTCGCTGAGCATGATCCCTTCCAGCGCCATCCATGTTGCTGCAAATTGCATGTATTTATCTTTTTTGAATGCTGAGTAATATTCCATGGTATATATGTACCACATCTTCTTGATCCAGTCATCTATTTTTGGGCATTTGGGTTGTTTCCAAAGCTTAGCTATTGTAAACAGTGCTGCTATAAACATAGGGGTGCAGGTGCTCTTTGGAATTGATGTTTCTGTGTCCTTTGGCCCTTGACTAAGAAATTCTTTTTGGTGTTTGTTTCTTTAATATTTACATCTATGTGCCTTGGTTTCCCCATTTGGAAAACAAAGGCACCCAGCACAGGTATGGGAGCATCTTATTTGGACTAAGCATTAACAAACATAGCACTTCTTATTAATTCTGCATACATAGGAAGTATGCAGTTCTAAAACTCCATAATCAGAACTTGGACTTAGAATACCCTGCCTACAGTAGTTCTTATTCAGTTAATCATTCCAGGGAAGAAAGAATAAAAACATCAGTAGGCCCACACACCTTCTCTTTCATCTTAGCAGTGCATGTTAACAGTGAAATAATGTGCTCATCTTCAAATCCACGCTGATTACTCCAGGGACCCTGATTTGCCAAAGAGTCATGTCATGAAACCCAGCACAGGGAGTGTACGTGTAGCAGTTCCAATGGCTGTTTATCATTACCTTTTCATTTAAGCATAAAAACCATTTGACAAATACAAACTCATTATAACCAGCAGAGCTGAACAGAATTTTTAAAGAAACAACCTTAATTTTCATGAATAGCATATTTGAGTTCATGCTGCTGTGTGTCAGGAATAAAAATCCCTATTATGATGATGAAATAAAGGGCATTTGTAGATTTAGTTTAGTTTTTTTTTTCCCCCCTTTTTTGATGGATAACAGATTTCTTGAATTTACAGGAAAAGAAACTTTGGCCTTTTATTATGTATTTAGGTAATGTCCCTGTTACTGTTTGTGACAGCTGTTTTAACCAATGCTTCAATTGTGTTATTTGCCAATGGCACAGAAAGAATTTCCATTGTACTAAAGTTATTTTTCCTTTTTCTGTAATGCATTAAAATGATTAATTTTGATGGCAGCTCTCAAAAGCTCATTTGAATTATAGGGTACCCAGCAGATAACTAAAAGCGTTTCTGACAAAACTCTAATTTGGGGCTCCTGAGAAACTGGTCAAGATGAAAAAGAGGATTAGAAATATAGAGATGGAGCTGCCAGGGACAAGTCTTCTGAGGACTAAAAGTGGGTAACAGGATGCCATGATAGAAACAAAGGCAGTGACATTCTTTTTGCGGGGAGATTAGAGATGGGTATACAAGATGGCACACATGGAGTAAAGAAATTTTCCACAAAGGACAGTGAAGGGGGAAAGACTAAAAGAAATATATGGCCCCAAATTGTGGGAAAGAAGTTTCCTCAGTAACAAAGCCTATATTTTCATTGCAATTGGAGTCCATGGAACTTAGCTCTTCAATATTTTTAATAATCCTTCTTTTAAAATACTAAAATA